AGAGTTGAAATTACTTGCCCAATATCAACCAGCCAGGGGCGCCAGAATGGGGGTGGGGCCAGGGAGCCATGGCCCCACACTTTTACTGGTCAGAAGGGCAAGAGATGGGAGGAGAGGAGCAAGTGGTGGGGGTGGGATCTTGGGGGAAAGTAGTGGCACAGGAGCAGGGCCTCAGGAGAAGGGGCAGCGTGAGGGCGGAGGAACGGGGAGAAGGGGCGCCGCAGGGGTGGGGCCACGGTTGGGACATCTGTGGCCCTCCCATTTTTAGGGCACTTCTGCACCCAGCAGGCCTGGGTAGAACCTGAGTGCCAATCCAGTGCTCTCTTCACTAGGCAACACTGCCTCCCTTTGGCTCCATCTACTAACCTGGGTGTCCTGGCCAAATTCAGACATAGGTGATTACACCTACCTATCATGCTCTGTGTCTGCACAGCTGTGTTCACTAACTGGGTGGTCATTTAGCTGGCAAACTGTTTTTCAGTGGAGGGGGAGGAGGAGGGTTGTGTCATGATGGCAAAGTCAGTGCTCAAGGAGAGGGGGACAACGCAGAAATGACGGTCTGGCTCCAGCGCAGGATTGAAATGCACGGCACGGAGGCACACAGCAGATCCCACATGAGGCCTGCAGAGCAGGCATGCACGGACCCTCTCCAGGTGCAGGTGACAGCACAAGGAGCTCTCCTCACCCCCCTTTCTGCCCTTGTTGCAGGACCAAATGTGAGCACAGGGACTGCCCTCTCTTCCTGCAGCCAGGGAGCAAACCCTCCCCAAGGGGAGGAGTTGGCGAGATGTATTGGCAGAAGGAACGTGCAACGTCCTAAGGGACAGACGGGCAGTCTGGGCGCTCGGCAGCTCCAGGAGAGATTGAGCTAGTTTCTCGAGTGCTGGAGCTTAGGTAGAGAGGGTGAAAAGATGAATTGAAACCCGCTCCGCACCTCCCTACATCGGGGCTGCTTGGGGCCAGCAGCACGCCCATCACAGAGAACAGTCCTCAAAGCTACTCTCATTTACAAGAGCTTTGCCTGGCTGCCTGTGGGCTGCTGTGCAGCACACAATGGACAGCAGCATAGGGCTGCCTGCATTGGCCCTGCACTAATCCTGTCCTGGGAGGGAATTTCCCAAAGAGCCATTCCACCTCGCTCACCCCACGAGAGGCAAAAAGGGGCCAGAGCTGGGAGTAGAACCCGCTCCATTGCACCCACTCAGGAACACTCCCTTCCAGTGCCACACCACTCGCACCATGGAGTGCCTGCTGAGCACACCATCTAGCCCCATCATTCATGAAGGACGTCATTCATTCTTCCTACTTCATTCTCTCTCCTGGAAATCCTCACCCATTCCTTTCCCTTCCATTTCATGTTTTTCTCTTCATAGAATCATAGACTATTAGGGTTGGAGGGACCTCAGGAGGTCATCTAGTCCAACCCCCTGCTCCAAGCAGGACCTAATCCCCAACTATTGTTCCCCTGAAGCTGTAAACAACAAAGTTGTTGTTTATACGAGGACCTTGACTTTAAAAACCCACCGCTATCCTTCCCTGAGCGTTTGTTTGTCTAACGTCTAGTTCTGCCTTGCATGTTTATATTCACTGCTGCCTGATTTATGAATTGGCACAGTCAGCATTTATTTATTGAGATTCCCTGATGTGTGGCATGCCAAGTGTGACGGAGTCACAGGTCCGATGCTCTGGAACTGCTCTGTATGAAGCCAGACAGGACGCTGGGTAGCATGACTCCCCTCAGGGCACTCTCTCAGGACAAGGAGTCTCTTCAGCTATGGCCTTCCTGGCACTGACCTCAGAGCATTCAGTGTCTTTGTTCGCACCGTACTCTTCCCCTTGGTGAGTCCACCTGGACGAGAAACCTGGGGAAGCCAGAGGGCCCTGCACCCCAACTCCGCAGTCAGCCGTGACTCCCAGCCAGCTGGTAAAACAGAAGGGTTTAGTAGTTAACAGCAACACAGCGTAGAACAAATCTTGTTAGCACAGAAATCAGTGACTTTCAGCAAAGTCCATCTTGGGGGGACCGGACACCCTGGACTCCCCCCTCTCCAGGTCCCCAACAGAAGACTGCCCATCTTCCAGCGACTAGACCTCCAACACACCCGTTGCCCCTCCTTTGTCTTTGTCTCACTTCTGGTCAAAGTGTCACCTGGTTGCATCCCCCTCCTGGGTCTCAGGTTATGAAGGGCATCGACCATCACTTAGGTGCAGGCAGCTGGACCGGCCTCACCTGCCCCTGAGAGTCTCAGCAAAAGTCACACACCCTTATTTCCACCACCTAGGCATTGGTGCAATACACAGGGAAACTGAGATACACACAGTATTCATGCAAAACAGTAAGACTCAGAGGCTCATGTACAACATAATAAGGAGGAAAAAACCACTTTGTGACACCAAGCTAAATACGACCTCTTAGAAACCTTTCTCCAGCTGGTTTCACAGGAACTTATTTATTATTTGTATTTCCATAGCATGTAGGAACCTCAGTCATGGATTGGGACCCTGCATTGCGTGTTGTGTACAAACACAGAACTAAAAGACAGTCCCTACCCCAAAGAGCTGACTGTCTTATCCAACCTATCAATTCTACCTCCAGCAGTAGCCAAGATTTGATGCGTCAGAGAAAGGTGATTAACAACTGTGCTACACTGGGCCAACTGTGCAGTTCTGCACATGGGGAAGAAAAATTCCTTCCTGCCACCCACAGTGATCCAACTATGTCCTAAAGCATGACGTTGGATACCCTAATTACCTTAGTTTGCCTAGCAACAAATGCTGTTAGTGGCCATGCAGTGATCCAGCTCGTCTCAAAATCCAGCCACTTTGTGGGACTTGATGAGCTCCTGCAGCAGTGAGTTCCACACGGCCGCCATGATTAACTGAGCTAACATGTTGGTTAAAGTTTTTAATTTTAATGCAGTTCAAAAGAGGAAAATTACAAGCTTGATGAGGCAAATAGTGAACTAGACAACCTGAGAAATCAGGAATGTGGATGTGACAGTCCAAGCTAGGAGGCAGAGCAGAAAATTAAAGTCAAACATGACTCCTACATCTGCAGAGTAGAGTGTAAATTGCCACCTCTCTCTCCCCCCCCCCCCCCCCATCTCAGCACTGGAATGTCAGAGGCTAGGTTGGCTCAGTTGATTGGTAATGGGAAATGGATGGACCCTTTCATTTCCAAAATTCCAGGGCCCTGCTTCCTTCCAGCCTAGGTGAGTAGGGTATTGCACCCAGTTTTGGGCCCCCCACTACAGAAAGGATGTGGACAAATTGGAGAGAGTCCAGAGAAGGGCAATGAAAATTATTAGGTTTGAGACACATAACTTATGAGGAGAGGCTGAGGGAACTGGGCTTATTTAGTCTGCGGAAGAGAAGAGTGAAGGCGGGATCTGATAGCAGCCTTCAACTACCTGAAGGGGGGTTCCAAAGAGGATGGAGCTCAGCTGTTCTCAGTGGTAGCAGATGACAGAACAACTTAGCAGTTGTTAATTCTCTCTGCTCACAATCTATTCAAAAGCACCATAAACCAGTTAAACAGACCATTATATTCACCACTTTCCCTCTCCAAAGAGGTATCAGCCTTGAGGTAATACATTTGACTGCCACTGCTGAAAAGTGCTACCAATGCTTTACAAAAATGAGGAAGCATTATTGTCCCCATTCTGTGGGTGGGAAAGATGAGGCACAGAACATGGCTGCTGTCACACAGTAAGCCACTCTTCTTAGCATATGTTTCAGGTGGTACGTGACCAGGATTCATCACCGAATTTAGTCCACTGGTTGGATCATTAGCTTCCCCAGCCAGGCCAGGGCACTGATCCATGCCGCCCTGGTAAGCCAATGGTAGAATAAGAATAGAGCCGAAATCTCCTGATTTACATCCCCAGTGTCCTATCCACTAGACTACACTGCCTCCCCTCATAGAACTGATCCCAAGTTCTCACTAAATTTCAGCTTGAACCCAGGACTCGTCCGAACTTTATTGAGGGAGGGGGGGCTGGTGATGGAGGTTGGGTGATTTTATCTCCTGGTGCCTCATGTGGGGAAAACAGGCTGAATGACTTTGGACGCAATCTGGTATATAAAAACCCCAGAGAGGTGATATGGGAGAGGCAGTTCGGAGCACTCACAGCGATTCCCTGCAGGGGGACCAGTTACGGGGTAGTATCAAGCCAGAAAAGCATCAACACACAGGAAATGGATGGCAAGGGGATGCAGAGAAGCCAGGGGAGGGAGCCAGAGGAGCCCAGGGGGTTTCTCAGTGTGGCGTGGTGGTTCTGTTTGCACTGCCGAAGGCAGAGTCCTCCCGTGATGTTTTCTCATTCCTCATGGCCACCTTGTGGGGCCTCTCCAGGACTCACTCTGTTTGCTTTGGAGGAGGGCTTGTGCTTTCCACAAAGTAACTCTTCTTCCCCTCAGTCTCTTTTCCCCCATCCCCCAAATCTGGCTGACTGGCTGCTCACAGACCAGCCCATGGAGCTGGCTGGCTTTCCTGGTGACTGGGAGGAGGAGAAGCAAATTGCTGAAATAAACCTTTTTTTATAATCTGCTGCACGGTTGGTCAGCAAAGCAGGGACTTGTATTTCCAGTGAAGGCCGCACAGGCCCTGATCCTGCATGGGGAACCAGTGCTTCCACTCCTGTGTCTGGACCATTATCCAGGCAGGACTGCAGTCACAGTTTGCCAAATGGCGAACTACTGTTACCTCTCAGATTGGGGGTGGCCCCACCCGATGCCAAGCCTCTGAGAGGCTAAATGATATTTTCCCCATAGGGAGGTCCACTGTTCCTGGTGGTTCAGTACTGCAATAACAAGGCGATGTGTGTAGTGGATGGAGTAAACTGCTATTCAATCTCCCTATTCCAAAAATCAGTTTAACATATAGTCCTCAGATAGAGGAAGTATCTGTTATTAAAGCGATAAGAACAGATTTAAAATTTTTATTCAAGCTAATGTTAAAATTATCTAAATACAGGTTAATAAAAACATTTCTAGTCCTCTGCATATAATGCTTAAATTATCCAAAAATAACAAGTTTGGTTTAAAAAGTCATAAAAGGCACATAATACATAATCTGATACTTGGTGAAATCTAAACATAGAACACACAACCAATTTGGGGATTGTGCTCTGCTTCTTAACAGTTTACCCTGAGGTTGGCACTCACAGTCACAAGCTACTCCAGATGGCTCGAGCCCTCTCATGGATCAGTAACTGGTTAGCAGATAGGAAACAAAGGGTAGGAATAAATAGTCAGTTTTTACAATGGAAAGGGGTAAATAGCAGGCTTCCAAAGTATGAGACGAGACTACAGACTTTGGGGCTGGTCAGTTTAGACAAGATGTAAGCGGGGGAATAGTCCCGCTCTTGTGGGGAACTTTCCTGGCTTCTGTACTACCCTGGTGAAGTGGGCTAGCGAAAGGATCTGAGTCCTCGCTCCCACTTCCTTTACCCAGTGGCCTCCCTGCCCTTGAGGACTCCCCTTCCACTCTCCTGTCTGGCAGAGTCCTCGTAACCCCAAAAAGGCTGGGCCCAGGATTCCTGGGGGGCTCGACCCTCACCCCTGCTGTGGTCACCTAGGACAGGGGGCTAGGGTGTCCCCACTCCGGGGTACTCTCTCTGCCCTGGGCACTTTTCTGGCCCACTGACCATTACACACAAGTTAAAGCAAATGCAAGTTATTTAGTCAATAATTAATTTTAAAAAGAATAAGAAAAAATGGGAAAGGTTAAAGGAAACACATCACCCCGCTCTGTGGCTGGGAACATCACAAACAGTGTCTCTGGAACGTCAGGGCAGTTCACAGTCTGCTCCTAAGTCCCAGGCCCTGTCTCCGGCCCTGGCCGTGCTGCAGGGATGCCGTGGGTTGGACGCTTGCTCTGCTGGTGGCCACACGCTCTCAGGCTCTAAGTGGTAGGACCCTTCTTCCCAGTGTCGCCCCCGCCCTGTCGGAGTTACGATCCAAGCCTGGCCTGCAGAGCCTCTTGGCTGAGGCGTCTCCCTGTGCTGGGCCCGCTGCCCAGGGTCCCCCTCGCTCTCCCCAGCTGCTCACCGCACCCAGCTCTGGACTGCTCCAGCCCCAGCTCCACTGCTCTGTCTCTGCACAGCTGCTGCTCTGCCTCCAGCTCCCTGGGCCGCTTCTCTGGCCCCCTGGCTCTGGTTGCTGCAGCTCTGCTCCCAGGACAGGTCTGCTCTGCAGGCTGCTTCTGTGACTCTCCTCCCAGCACTGACCTGCTTCCTGGGCTGCTTCTCTGGCCCCTCTGGCTCTGGTTGCTGCAGCTCTGCTCCCAGGGCAGGTCTGCTCTCTCTGGGCTGGGCCTCTGGCTTTGGGGCTGCAGCTCTGCTCCCAGGACAGGGTCTGCTCTCCTGGTCCCTTTGGATCTGGCCCAGCTCTGCTCCCCAGCTTAGCTCAGCCCCACTCTGTCTGACCCAGGCAAATCCAGCTCACACGGAGGACAGGACCGCCTTGGCCTCCCGACTCCCTGATTAGCCTGCCCGCCCTGTCATTCAGGCTGACCTGGAGCATTGGCCTCTCCTCATTGTTCCTGGGGGCTGTCGGTCTCAGGGTCCTGATTCCTCATCGACCCTTCCCCCTTTTCAGTACTGGGAACTAGCCAACCAAAACACCCCCACTGAATGTTAGTAAGGGGGCAACAGTCCCCTTACAAAGAGATGACTAAGGAGGGATATGATACAGCACCGGTTCTCAACCGGGCATCTGCCAAAAGAAACCTGGGCTTGATCCTCCTCTGACTCACCTCAGTGGGCCACCAAGCCTACCTACCTGGTTTGCAGGTGGGAGGAGGGGCACAACAAAAAATTGCAGTATCACTGCAGAAGAGAGATCTCCCCCTGCCATCAGTGAGGGCTGCCTCTCAGCCACTGACTCTATGAGCAGGCAGCAGCTAGCCAAGGAGACACACCACTGCTCTGCCCTGCTACATTAGTGGAGGGGGGCGGGGGGGGAGAAGCAGGTGACCTCATGTCCCCTGCTTCACTTCTGATTGGGGATCCGCAGGGCTGTGTATTTAATTTTACACGGGTCCCTGGTAAAAAAAGGTTGAAAACCACTATGAGAGAGGTCTATAAAACCATGAATGATGTGGCTAAAGTGAAGAGTGAAGTGTTATTTACCTTTTCCCACAATATAGTAAAGGTGAGCGGGACCCATCTGACTAAATTAATGTGCAGAACTCTTTGCCATGGTATGTTGTGAGGACAAAAAGTATAACTGGCTTCCACAGAGAATGAGATAAGTTAATTGAGACCAGGTCCATCAAGAGTTATTAGTGAAGCTGGTCAGTGATGCAATCCCACGCTTGAGGCAAATCCTACATCCCTGACAACACAAAGACCAGGAGTGGAAGGTAAGGGTGGATCACTCCAAATTGTCCTGTTCTGTACACTCCACTGGGCTAGATGGACCATTGGTCTGACCCATTCTGGTCTTCTTACAGGAAATCCTGGGGGTGAAAGAATTAATTGCTAATGAGCTCTGCTGCATAAAGTCATCTAGAATAACCAGATAGGCCAGTATGAATACCCTTTTTGTATCATTAAACATTAACACACAAAATATGGGGATTAGTTATTCTAGCTTCTTCATTTGGGAATGAACTCAAGCACAAAAAAAGTGAAATTTGAAAACATATCTGAAATATATTTTCTACATTACGCAAGCCTTGCCTTAGCAAATCACTAATACCAAAAACGTATGAAGTGAAACAAAATAGACCCCTCCTGAAAACACCCCTAGTGACACATTTAGCTCTCAGTACATTATAAATGGTATTTTTCAAAACTTATTCCTGTTATAATCTTTAAGGATCAAGAAAAGCTCAACTCACCAAGTTTAACAACAATTCTGTCTTTTGTATCACACAAAACAGCCTCACCTAAATGAAGCTTCAAAAAATTGGATAGAAACTCGTGATTGTTTCTCTCCACGGAAATCTTTAGTAAAAGGCGAAAGATTTATACGATCTGAAGAAAAACCAGAGTACAAACGATGTGGTGCAGAGGCGCTACCAGGGCAACAGCGTGTTCTTCTTACCTCACGGTGACTGCACTGACAGCCCGCTAAACCTCTCGCTTTTAGAGGACATGTAATTGAACCGAGTCAAGTCCCGAGTTGGATCATCGGAACCGGGGTTATTGGGAGCAAAGCGAGCCCCTTGACCAGGGACTCGCTTCCCTGCGCGCAATGCACTGTGGGTATGCAAATGAGATTCTCTGGCCGCTCTCCGCGCTCCGGGCTGCCCCTGCTCCTTCCCGGGCCGGGCGGGGACGGGGGCGGGGGTGGGGGTGGGGATGCCGTCCTGGCGGGGGGAGCTGCTCTCCCCAGACAGTCCCGCTGACGCGCAGGCGCATGGAGGACTCAGCCGGGCGGGCAGCCAGAGGGCAAAGGGCCCCCCGCTGAGTTAGGAGCGAAACCCCGGAGCACGCGCATGCGCCCTGCAAAGTGCCTGGGGCAGGGTCTCCACGGAGGGTCTCGGCGCGCCGGGCGCGGCCCGGCCCGGCCTGGTCTAGCCTGGGCGGCCCCGCTGCGGAGCAGCTCCCCGCGGCTCCCCGGGGACACGGGCGGAGCGGGGAGCAGGCGGGGGGGGGGGGGTCACTCGGGTATCGCACCCGCCTGGGGGGGGGTCACTGGGGTATCGCCCCCGCCCCCGGGGGGGGTCACTGGGGAATCGCACCCGCCGGGGGGGGTCACTGGGGTATCGCCCCCGCCCCCGGGGGGGTCACGGGTATCGCACCCTCCCCCGGGGGGGTCACTGGGGTATCGCCCCCGCCCCCGGGGGGGTCACTGGGGTATCGCACCCGCCCCCGGGGGGGGGGGAATCGCACCCGCCGGGGGGGTCACTGGGGTATCGCACCCGCCTGGGGGGGGTCACTGGGGTATCGCACCCGCCCCCGGGGGGGCCTGGGGTATCGCCCCCGCCTGGGGGGGGTCACTGGGGTATCGCCCCCGCCCCCGGGGGGGGTCACTGGGGTATCGCACCCGCCCCCGGGGGGGGTCACTGGGGAATCGCACCCGCCGGGGGGGGTCACTGGGGTATCGCAACCTCCCCCCGGGGGGGTCACTGGGGTATCGCACCCGCCTGGGGGGGTCACTGGGGTATCGCCCCCGCCCCGGGGGGGTCACTGGGGTATCGCCCCCGCCCCCGGGGGGGTCACTGGGGTATCGCACCCGCCTGGGGGGGGTCACTGGGGTATCGCCCCCGCCCCCGGGGGGGGATCACTGGGGTATCGCGCCCGCCCCCGGGGGGCGGGAAGCGAAACGCAGCGTCTCCCCCCGCAGAGGCGGGGCCGCGATCCCGGCTGTTCCTGGGTCTCTCCGGGAGCCCGGGCCGGGCCGGCTACGGCTCCAGCGCAGCCGGACACTGGCGCGTCACTGAGCTCGGGGGCGGCTCTGCCCCCCACCCCGGGGAGCGGGCCCCGCAGAGGCCCCGGCAGGGCCCGCGCCGCCCTTCGGCGAGGCCACCTGGTGGGGAGGGGCCGGCCGTGGGGCTCTGAGCGCTGAAGAGCGGGGCGGGGGAGGGGCCCGATCGGAGGGGCGGAGCCGCGTGAGCACGTATGCAGATATGTGTGAGCAGAGCATTGTGGGAGCCGGAGCAGGCTGCCCAGCAGGGCCCGAATTTGGCACCTGGGGCTTGGTGTGGAGGAGGCTGGGGCCGCGGGGCGACGTCGGGGCAGCTCTCGGCAGTGGGGGCTGGTGTGGGCGCGGCCGGCGGGTGGGGCGCAGCGGGACCCACCGTGGCTTTAGAGTGTGGGGTGAGAGAGGGCGGGCGGCGGCTGGGAAGAAGCAACTCATACTTACCTGGCAGGGGAGATACCATGATCACGAAGGTGGTTTTCCCAGGGTGAGGCTCATCCATTGCACTGCGGGTGTGCTGACCCCTGCGATTTCCCCAAATGCGGGAAACTCGACTGCATAATTTGTGGTAGTGGGGGACTGCGTTCGCGCTCTCCCCTGGCACTGGGTCAAAGAAAGACAATAAACGAAACTCGGGAAGATTTGGAGATCTCTTATTAGTAGAGGCTCTGTCCGTGTTTGTTAGTGGGTGTTTTTCCCCCGATGTGTGACTGTTCTGTGGGGCAGCTGCCTGGCTGCTTTGTTCTCTCTGTCGCTGTCTGTAAGCAGCTACTGGTGCGTTTGCGGGTCCCGCTGGTGCTGAGTCCAACAAAAGAAAGCAAAGCTCAGAAACTTTGGCTTACACAGTAACTCTTCGCTTATTGTGGTTATGTTCCTGGAAAGTGCTACGTTAGGCAAAATGATGTTAAGGGAGTCTAATTTCTGCAGAGAATTAATATGGGTGGGGGTTAGGTTCCAGGGGAATTTTTTTTCCCCAGACAAAAGACTCTATTTTATATATATATATATATATATATATACAGTATAAGTTTTAAATAAAAAATGACAGGTTTCAGAGTAACAGCCGTGTTAGTCTGTATTCGCAAAAAGAAAAGGAGGACTTGTGGCACCTTAGAGACTAACCAATTTATTTGAGCATGAGCTTTCCTGAGCTACAGCTCACTTCATCGGATGCATACCATGGAAACTGCAGCAGACTTTGTATACACACAGAGAATATAAAACAATACCTCCTCCCACCCCACTGTCCTGCTGGTAATAGCTTATCTAAAGTGATCATCAGGTTGGGCCATTTCCAGCACAAATCCAGGTTTTCTCACCCTCCACCCCCCCACACAAATTCACTCTCCTGCTGGTGATAGCCCATCCAAAGTGACAACTCTTTACACAATGTGCATGATAATCAAGTTGGGCCATTTCCTGCACAAATCCAGGTTCTCTCACCCCCTCACCCCCCTCCCAAAACCCCAAAAAATGAATACTGTACACAGCAATGATGATTGTGAAGCTTGGTTGAGGTGGTGAGGTCAGAGGGTGGGCTATTTCCCAGGGAATGCCTTGCTGCCAAATGATGAATTAGCACTCGGCTGAGCCCTCAAGGATTGACCCATTGTTGTTAATGTAGCCTCACACTCTACAAGTCAGCAAAAATTGAGGGAGGGGAGAGACAGCAAGGCAGAGAGGGGGATAGAGACACACACAATGTGTGTGTGAGACAGATGCGCTTTGCCCCTTTAAGTACGCTGACCGCACTCTAAGTACATTGCCGTTTTAAGTAGATCAGCAAGTTGAGACAGCAGCTGCTACCAGCAAGCTCCCTCCATCCTGTCGTGTCCCCGCCCTGCTCTGTGGAGCTGGGGGTACAAGAGCTGGGGGAGGGGGACACCCTGACATTAGCACCCCTCTTCCCCCCCCCCTTGCACAGCAAGCAGGAGGCTCCCAGGACTTGGGAGCAGCTCCAAGGCAGAGGGCAGGAGCAGCACACGGCAGTGGGGGGAGGGACAGCTGAACTGCCGGCAATTGTTAGCCTGCTGGGCAGCTGCTGCACAGGGAACTTAGGTGAGTGGGCAGCTGATGGGGGGGTTGCCGGTCCACCCTGGTTCCCAGCCCCCACCAGCTCACTCCAAAGGGCTGCTCTTCTGCAAGCAGTGGACAAAGCAGACGGCTGCCAAGTGACATTGTAAGGGAGCATTGTGTAACTTTAAACAAGCATGTTTCCTAATTGATCAGCAATGTAACAATGGAACCACGTTAAGTGAGGAGTTACTGTAACACTCTGTGCTTTCTGCTGCTCTGTTAATCGGAGATCGGGCTGCTGGCTTTGTTGCTTTTCTGTCCTTCCCTGGGCTTTTGGATGGGCCTGCTCTCTAAGTCTGCCTTTGGGGGGCTTGGACCAGTGCCTTCTTTTGCCCTAAGGGGAGCTGCCTGGCTGCTCTGCCTCTTTTCCTGCTTGCAGCTTTTTGCCTGTCCCTCCTTCTTGGGCTCTTCCTCCTCTGGCAGGAGGATGGCCCATCAAAAACACCTGTCTCACCTGATCCCCTCGTCCAACATGCAGGCTCACTCCCTGCCCTGGGGCCGCTTTGGCTTTTGCTGTCTGTTCTTTCTCTTGGTGGCAACCCTGTCTGTGCTACGGAGACTAGGCTGGCACAGCCCCGTGGTGGAGGAGATATTTCCGTTGCTTTAGGTCCACCGCTTCCCTGAATGCCCTTAGCTATGCTGGGGGTTGGGTCAGCGTAACCATATCACCCAGGAGTGGGTTTCCCTTTTACACACCCCTGATGGATGGAGCTATTTTGACTTAACTGTTCAGCACGCACCAACCTTCAGGCCTGGTCTGCACGGGGAACATAAGTCGGCACAGCTACATCGGTCCAGGCAGTGGACAGAAGAATTCTTCCGTCATCCTCGCTCCTGCCTTTCGGGGAGGTGGATGGCCTATGCCAACAAGATAAATCCTCTCCAGGACCCTTCTCCAGGAACAGTGCCCTTCCATTTGGGGAGACTACGCTGGTTAAAAAAAGAGAAATAGTTTAACTGCGCTTCTCTGTGACAATATTGACTTTGTATTGCTTCCTTTGTGTCTCCTTATAGAAGTTGTGTTCTGAAATCTTCAGGATTTTACTTCATTTATGATTAAATCTTGCTGTAACTTTATTCTAATTTGGAATGAGTAACTAGACATGAGCTTTTTTTTGTGTTATTGGCGGATTGTTCAAAAAGCTGGGATTCCACTTTCTGCTGCCTTTCAATTTAATTTCCTCTAAAAGCCCACTTAAAACCTCCGCTTCCCACATAACTATCGCAAACATACAGTCCTCAGGCATACATAAGATACTTACAGTTTAACTCAATACCAGTCCAGTTCCTTGCTGTTTCCTGTCTAACCACTGCACACATATGGTATACCCTCCCTATCCTGAGCTGATTCCTGACTTTTGCACTCAATACAAGAAAACAATAATTGAGAGGTAAGCTGTACAGGGAACTCTTCCTCAACTTGCACTCTACTCCCCCAGGGCCTTTCGGGGTCTTCTATGGACTTCAGGTTTCATTTGATTTCCAAGGTTTATGGTCTGATTGATTAGCCATCTCTCCTAATGCAGGGATCCCACATGTCAGACCAAAGACTGAGTGCCCAAAAGAGCTAAGAAACAGAACTAAAGCTGAGCACTACTCGTTACATTTACTTGGGCATCCAGAATCTGACTGTACCCTGGCAAGTTCAACGCTGCCGAAAGAAATCAGAAAATAAGGAGCTCGTCAGGTCCCCCTGCTAGCACCCAAATCTGGTGTCTAGTCAATCTGCTGGGAAATAAGGAAAAGGAAACGAATAAAAAAGTCAGGAAATAACAAGGAAATGAAGAGGTTTGTCGAATGGGTTTCTGTCCGATTTACCATCTTCCTAGCTACCAAAGTTAAAGACTGAAAGTCACCCTATCGGCATCAGTACAGATTGTTAGATGGAAATTAAAAGGAGCTGCTGTCACAAGTGTTAAGTGCCTGCAAGTGGCATGCAGACCGTTTAAAACCACCACAGTTAGAGGCTCAGATGAAATGTATGCCCTGAATCAGAAACAACAATAGGAGGACCAGAAGAACACCACCCTAGGTAAACAGCAGAGTAATGGAGGCTGTTAGAGGCAAAAAGTCATCCTTCAAAATTTGGAAATCAAATCC